TCCCAAATATGTATCTTATGAAACAGTCATGAGCTTCTTTAATTTTATTTCTAGCCTGGCGAATAGCCATCCATTCACGGAGCAGCCATAGTCGAAGTAAGAGAATATAAGGGAGGTTACAAGGAGCTGTCTAGTTTTCAGAGAAATACAATCACGAAATCTTAGGAGTTGTTTAAGGACAGTTATGTATTTTGGGGTAATCTGGGATATAGTTATTCCAGGAGAGGTTCTGGTCAAAGGTTACTCCTAGGTTTTTGACTGTATGAAAAAAATGGATAGGGCGGTTATTGAGGTAAAGTAGAGGAAAGTAAGGAAGGGGGCTAATGAGATGTCTGGAGCCGATGAGAATAGCCTTTGTTTTATCTGCATTCAGCTTTAACTCATTTCTTTCAGCCCATCTGTTGATGTAGTAGATATCCTCTTGTAGCTTTCGGGTAGTCTCAGGCATCTCGGGAGATTGGAATGATTGGTAAATTTGGAAATCATCAGTATATAGGTGGCAACGGGAGTGTTTAATGGCATCAGAAAGGTCTCTGCTATAAATAGAGAAAAGGGTCGGGGAGAGGGAGGAACCCTCAGGAACAACTTGTGTTAATTGAAGGGGAGACAATGGAGGTTTGTTCGGAATTACAACTGTCTGTGATTGATTGGATAAGAAGGAGAGGAACCATTTTAAAACGCTATTTGATATGGGCAGGCTTTGGAGTTTAGATAGGAGGATCTCGTGATTGACAGAGTCAAATGCTTTGGAAAAGTCAAAAAGGATTAGGATGGAGATTTTCTGTTTATCGTGGATTGCAGGTCTTGGGTAATCTTTAGCAAGGCAGACTGGGAATAATGGGAACGGGAATCAGATTGTAAAGGATTCAGTAGAAGGATTTGCTCGAGAAAGCAATTCAACTGAGACTGGACTAATCTTTCTAGAGGCTTGGATAGATAGATTGGATAAAACCAAGATGGGTCTGAGAAGTTGGAAGCAGATGAAGGAGTAGGAGCTTTGTTCAATAGGCGGACTATGGTTTTTTTTCAGGGTTTGGGAAAAATGGAATTTTGGAGAGAGAAATTATATATGTTTAGAAGTGCAGGAAGCAAGGCTGGAAGACAGAGTTTGATAATTTTAACAGGTATTTGGTCAGGACCATAATCGTTTGTTTTAGATTTAAGGGTGGCAAAGAGTAGGTCAGTAGGAGAGATATCGAGAAAATAAAACATCAGGATCGAAGGAGATTTCGGTGATGGAAAAAATTGAGCGGTCAGATGAAGACGTGGATGGAAAATGGTTAGTGAAAAAAGAATTTAGCTTGTTTGGATCGACTGGATATTGTGTGCAGGTTTTCGAGCTAACAACAGAGACGTTCTTAAGGATTATACTGTTTCGACATTAGTATTTTTAAAAAATGAAATTTTTGTAAGCTCAATTATTTTCCACATGTTCTAGTTTTGAGTTCATTAAAAATTTTAAAGATAAATAATTGATCATTTCTAGAATTGACCCTAGAATTGGATTTTTATCTTTCCAGATCCATAAGTATTCTTAAAAAATTATGGTTCAATAATTGGATTCCATAAAATATTAGGAAAGATATGGCATATTGATAAAAAACACTATCTTTGAAGAATAATATATAGCATTACCTAGTGTAATTTAGAATTTTCTAAAACAAATTGGAATTGTTCCAAATCAAATTTAAAACTTTCCAAACCAAATTGAGATTTTTCTAAACCGAATTCAGAATTTTCCATTTAAAATAATCAATTGAAAATTTGTAATACATTAAATGGATAGGATATTTTTTAGGATAAATTTAATTCCTTATTTGTAATATCTATTATGAATAATAAGGTTAGGTGTTATAGCATTTAAAGACCAATGTTAGAAATTAGAAATTAAAGTTAAAATTTTCTATATGTAAAAATCAAAACGAGTTATAGACAATAAAATCCTTACAATTTTTTTAATAATAAACATTGATTAAATTTAAAAGTTATATGTTTTAAACTTATAAAATAGAATTGTTTAATGCAGCGGGTTCCAGATGTGGCAGCTGTATGAGCATGCCTATGAACCAGATTGCACAATCTGCACTAGTTATTGCAGATATAGCTTCTGGAATTAATTCAAATTATGCTCTCATGGTTCACTCAGACTATTTCTTGTTCTAATTTTTATTTTGAAGATGGCTCTCTCTATCAGCTTTAAAGGAGGAGAGTAGGCAGGAAGATACCTCATGGTGAGACCGAGTTCTTGCACTTTTTCTTTTTACTTCTACAGGTCGATTATTTGTATTACTTTAATTAATATTTCTAATAAAATAATTTATTTGTTTCTTTTTATGTTCAAAAATCAAAATTACCCATTTCGATTTTTAAGTGAAGAAAATTTTAACTTTAATTTGAAAATGTTTAAAATTGGTCTTTAAATGCTATAATGACTAACCTGATTATTCACAATAGATACTAATAGTAAAATACCCTATTCATTTAGTGTTATACAAATTCTTGGATTGATTTGAAAAATTTTTATTTGAAATGGAAAATTCTAAATTTGGTTTGAAAAAATCCTAGTTTGGTTCAGAAAATTCTATATTTGATTTGAAAAAATCCCATTTTGTTCAGGAAAATTCTAAATAACACTTGGAAATGTTATATTCAGATATACTTAAAAACTCCTAATGCTGAGTCATGAATCATGATATTAACTACATCAAACTGGAAAAGTACTTGTGTTAGAAGATTAATAATAAAAAATAATCATCATTGTGACATCAGTGTCTTACTTACGATGAAACTGTTTGTAAATTTATTACCTGTAATGCTACTGTTAGTGCAAACGGTCATATGTAAAAATTGACTATGCAGTAGAGCATCTGTTTCTTAATGATTTATTAGTATAAGTTCATATTTTATTTACCTCGGCTATTTTCCTATTTAGCAGACTACAAAATGTCACCTTTAGGGCAAATAGAATAAATGTGAACAATTTTTACATATGGCATCAAACAAATGTCTAGTTAATGAATAATATGGCAAATTTGATATAAAGAAAATTCCTATTTCCATCAGTAGTAAATTCATTGACAAATTTTGTTGCATCAGAAATTTTCAGGGACATTTTTATAGGTATTGAATAAATATAGATAAAGATAAAGAAACATTCATTATATTATTTTTGTTTTCATTAAATATGAATAAGTATAAATGTATTGGTTAGTGATAAAGTTCATTTCAGATAAAGATAATCGTTTTTATTTAGATCTGTTATTGAAAAAAAAATAAGCCTGATAATTCCAATTTTACAAGAAATTGTAATTTGAAATGTTGAAACCATAATTGCAGTGGTAAGAAACCAAGTGGTTGAAGTCTTTGATTTATTCTGAAAAATTATTCATTGTTTTAAATTTTAATTATTTAATAATTAATAAATAGACACTTGCTTTATCCCAAAAGATATAAAACAACAAATTGTTCAGTAAATTACAACACATTTTTATCTTTTTTGAATAAAAAAAAAAAATGGTGCTATGTATCAGTTAACTTTAAAAAAGAGTGGTATCAATTGGTTGTTTTTTTAAGTCTTTTCATGTCATTATATTTCTCTATATCACATTTACTGGAGGTAGTTTTATTTTAATTTTTAATTAAATTGTTATTTAATTAATTGTAAATTTCATGAATAATTTTTTTTTTAAATAAGTTTTAATATCTATATATATAAAAATGAATGCATGTCTGTCTGTCCGTCTGTTTGTCCTTAGTGCATTACTAAACCATTCATCTGATCGCCATGAAACTTTGGGAAGTTCCGTACACTCCTGGGAAGGTTTCTAGCATATTACTTCTGTCTTAGATAATTTTATATATGAAAAAAAAAAATAAACATGTAAATGTTTTTCTGTTCAAAGCCGCAAAAAAATGTGTCGCTATAAGCTGTAGCGCCAAAACGGCTTTACCGATTTTAACAAAACTTAACTAAAGTCTTCCCCTTGAAACCCTTTTCATTTATGAGTATAACATACTTTCCCGAAAACAAGCTGAAAAATGTTACGATGAATTCAATATTTTATTTGTCGATAACTAAAAAAGTACAGAATTTTAGACTGATAATACCCACATTTATTTGAAAGATTCCTGATTTGCCGACAAAAACCATCGAAATCGGACGGTTCGTTGCAGAGTTATAGAGTTATTCTAAACTAGTTCAAATTATCATTTGAAGGAGTTTTATATGATTCTCCTTATGTAGGTCAATACTATTATATGTTCTTTATATTAATTCTTTATTTTAGTTTTATAAGTTCAACTCAGACTGATGATTATGAATGTTCAATTTGAATCATGAGAAAAAAAAATCATTAGAATTAGTTTAAATTGAAGCCATTTTACAGACCAATTTGTTTCTCAACTTTTTAAAATGACAGATGTCTTTTGCTATAAATCTACTCATATGTGCTTTCTATTTTCTTTCTTTTTCATTTTGACAGGCTAAGCCACAGCAGCGCGTGGCCGGGTAAAGCTAGTTTAATATAATATAATAAAATATATTCCATTTGTGTTTATTTGTTTTATTATAAAGTTATTTATATTATTATAAAATATATTTGCTTTATGACATGTTGCCCTTGGTTGATCATTAAACAAATGTCTTACTTTGCAACTAAAGTCAAAAAGTCCTTTTGAAAATCCATACGATAAGGCTACATGTAACTTTAACTTGGATATCCTTATCGTGAATATTTTTGTTTATCTGGTTTTAACATCCTTATGTACTCCAAGTAAGGCAGGAATGATCTCTATCCTGCAGGATACCAACTTATTCTAGTCAGAGTGGTCAGGTCGCAATTCATTCCATAGATCCACCACAAAATAAACTTCGACTCGTCCATGCTGGATCTGAACTGGCACCTCTTCTGACAACAGGTTGCTAAAGTGAAGCTTTAATTCTCACAACTAAGCTCATCATTAACATTAAAACTGGGGTTTTAATAGTAATAACGGTAACATAAGTTATAGATATATATATTTATGTATTTACATATATATTTCCATTATAAAAGTAAAAGATGTACATAACTTAAGATAACTTAGTAAGACATCACAGTAACTAGATAAAAAAAAAGCCAACACACTTTCGATTTGCCATATTTATATAAATTTTAAAAGCATACAATTTTAAACTGACTGGGAAGGAAATAGAACTCTGACAATATAGTGGTATAGAGGATATATAAATATATAAGAACCACTATCGGATAGGCTAAATTACTTGTCATTTATATCTACCCCTACTTATTTTTTAAAAAAGAGATACATATTTTAATTATTTTAAGGAAATAATATTTGTAATGATATCCTTCTTTGAAAAAAGTAAAATGGCAATGGGCTCTTTTTTTGTTTATTATATTCTTCGTTTCTTTTCTTAAATATGTATTATAAAAATTAATTTCACACATTTACGTCATGTGTTTCGAATTTTCAATGCACTCGATTAACTCCACATTTTTTACATAAAGCTCTACTTCTCAAAACACTATAAATCTATAACTAGAGCTCTACTTTCTATGGCTACAACTAATATCTAATTTTCACATTTTCAATTAAACACAATTACAGCAAACTATACTGCTGTTCTGAAAAATTTACTCTCCCATAAAAATATACAAGTTAATTTATAGATGTAAAAAAAAAAAAGATATTATACAAAAGAAACGTGGGTCAAAATTCAAAAGTTGTGCTTCAATGGTTTTGTTTTTTTTATAAGAAATAGTACAAAGAAAAATATAAACGAGCAGTTTGGAAATTCACAACTTCAAAGCTATTTTAATCACCCACCTCTCAATAAAATATGTTATGTAATTTCTTTTCAGTTTTAAAGCATTAACATACATTTGCATACATAAAATAATATTTAACTCTGTATGTATAATATATTCTTATGTATATATAATTATTCTTAAACAATTATTTTGTACAAAACATTTCTACTGACTAATATTCATCACAATAACTTAAATATTAAAAAAAAAAAAAAATTCAGAATCATCACTTTTTTCTACATGGCTTTCATGTAAAAAACACACATACATTATATGACAAACACACATTTCCAAATTACACATATACAATAAAACACTTAGAACAGTGAGTGAATTTTTTTAAAATGTATTTATTTATTTTCTCGATTAAGTAACATTTAGAATATCTATAAAACTAGGTAATATCAATCTTTATTGTTATATCCACATTTACTCTAATAAAGCTATATTTCCTTAACTTACATACAAAAAAAGAATTAAAATTAACTTTTTACAAACAATATGTGAAAACGAAAACAATGCTATTATATGTAATATTCATATATAAAACCCAAATGAACACAACATTTCGGATAAATAATATTGTCAATATATTGGCACAGAAACAAATCCCATTAATGGATAAAAACAAACTTTAATAAAAATCAAACGAAACATACTGACAACAATCAGCCATTATGGTTTAAGAGTTTGACTAGTAAAAGAACTTTTAATGGTGGTAAAAAAAAAAAAAAAAAAGATTAGTCTTTGATAGTTAAAAATTAGTAATCAGAATCTATAAGGTTCTTGATAGCTGATTATTATTTAACAGTTAATCAAACGAAGGAGATAAATTCTATGAGCCAAAAAATAAAGTTACACGGACTGGCTAATTTTTTCATTGCACTCTATTGACAAATACTTACAATTTTTTTTTTTTGTCTTCATTATATCAAATCTGAATATTTCAAATAAAAAAGTTATAATTATGAAAATAAGAGGAACAAGAAGAATTAAAATTACACGAATGTACATAGAAAATGTACATGTGTTTTTGATTGCTCAATTTTCTTTTTATCTTACTTAAAAAAATTCTTTCATTTCTAATAATTGTTTTTAGAATGTAGTAAATACATTCGTATGATAACAATTAAAATTTCTGTATTTAAAATCTATTGAAATTTCTATATTTCAGATTTTTTTTCAAGAAAACTTCATGTTCGATATTTATAGACCCAAAGTTTAAAGTTCAATAATTACTTCAACAGTAACTTCATTGATAACTTATTGTTACTCAGTATGAACATTTTATAACATCTGTAAAATAAAACATTTCTCATAAACCTATTACACAATTTAAATCATACAACTACTTACACAGACATCTTTTAATAATTAACTAGATGTTAAATAAATATATGTAATTTTCTCCAATGTTAAAGCTATATCTATTAGAGACAAGATATTTTTCTTATATAATAATTTATAATAGTGTTAGGGGTTTCAAACATTATCCGTGTATTCATATGTATATATATATATATATTTACAAAAACTTAATCTAAAAGTATACATTAAAAAAAAAATGGCCCTAGTTTCTTTCAATTTAAAGGTGACATATTCACATACATACAATCTACAACATCTAATATCTTTTAATTTTTGTACTATATAAAATATATATTTATATACGATACAGGAAATGGGATCTGAATATTAAAGTGTTATTTTCAGTCGCAATCAGTTTTTTTTTTACGTTTTGATGTCAACACATTATTAAACTTTTAGATGGAAAAGTCTAAAAATATAAACAAGGCATTGACTTTTTTTTCAGAATAAAATTCCGTGTATCAATCATGGTTTTATATTAGGAAGAAATAAATATATCTAATTTCATATATTAAATATAGTTTAATTAAAATGTATGATAAGGTTTCCAAGATTACTACTTCAAAGCACTAGGCAATAAAATTGCACGATTAAAATTGTAACTTTTCTGTTACATTTTCTCCTGAAATCATTCTCAATTACACCCAATTTAAATTTTTCAGGTGCCCTAAGCTAATTGCATTTTCAATGCTGTCATAAAAAATGTTAAGCAATTTTGAATGACGAATCACATTAATATCCATTGATATATCCATGTCAAAGTTGGTTAAATATAGCAAAATTTTTCTTTTTGTTTCGGCTTTAACTCAAAGCCTCATCCATAAAGCATATCAAAAGTATACCTGCAAAACTGCATAAGTGCTTCTGAAATAATTTTTGAGAAGAAAAAACTCCATTGGCCGAAAATCCTTCAAAACTTATAGATTTGTAATGACCTGTCATAGGCAACTGATTAGGCTAATAATGTTAAAATGGTGAACTACATTCAATCAGGAACCATTTGTTTTGCTATAGAGATGGAAAAATCTTTATTTTAAGATTGCAAAATTTTGCAGGTACACTATTGATACAGTTGTATTTCAAGTAGTATACTTATACAGCAACTTGAAATAGGCTTAATACCTAAGAATAAATTTCATAAAAAAATGTTTGTTGATTTTTTAACGTCCTTAAATGGGGCATAGAAATTAAATAAATGAGTAAGAGAAACCCAGTTATTTATTCAGTTTTTGCTTTAGAAATGAAGTTACAGATTGAAATAGTTTTGGTGACGAGTACCCTTCAGTCTTACATCTCAGCTTTTGAATGATGATACGATTACATATTACTAAGGCCATACAGGACAGCAAGGAATGTTATTAAGCGACACAATTACTTCACGCTAATGCCGAATCATTTCTAGATATACTATGCTTAACAAGGAACTTTACCCCAATATAAACAGCCCACAACACAGAGCATTTTCCCATTTAAAACTATTGCAATTAATAAGTTTTATATTATTTATGTATCGGGTTTTAAAAAATACAACTTGTAAAATTAAGAAGGTAAAGTGAGAAACGATATTTTGATTTGGGTGTGATTCAAAAATAAACAGAAGGATTAAATTAAAGAGTAGGTTTATGTCATTTAGACGTTGGAGTCTGACCCACAAGAGTGATGGATGTGGTCCCATCCAACGAGGGGAAGACTTGCCTTCGAAGGAGTTCCCTGTAGACCATGTGCGGTAACTGCTGTGGAGCGTAGGGTCTAGCATACATGTTGTTGTATATGGCCGAGGCCGACAGGTACACTTGGCGATGGTCAACAACGGGCATGTACGAATGTTTGTAAGGATATTGGTATCCTAGTGGTTTTGGAGCTATAGGTGGCAATGTTCGAGCATGCGATGGGATAGGATGTTTATGTTGTATTTTAGGAGGAACCAGTGTTATTTCTAGATTGGATCCGATATTGATCCGTGGTTTTGTCCTCAAGTCGAGAACTTCTCCTGATGGTGCAGGCGGTGCAACAAAGACTTCCTTAGGATTCCCGTAGACTGCCCTCTTACTGCTACCACTACTGCTACTACTGCCACTTGAAGGACCTATCAGAAACATTAATTAGTAAAAAAATTATTTAAACATATGGATAATTCTAAAAAATATAACACTATTATGCATTCTTACCATATGGTATAAAAAAAAAATTAGGTACAAAATAAATAGGAAATTAAATCAACCAGGTGGATTGAATTTTTCCTTTTAAAGGAACTGATTTCAATTAGGTACCTGGAAAATTCAGCACATAAATATATTCTTGATTGGTCTTGGATAGGAACAATTAAGATATTGAGGAACCTTCTTAAACTAAGTGATTTGAACAGGCAGAACTGTAATTGACGACCTGAATATCAACATATATTTTTTTTTATTGGGCACTCTCCACCTTACCATTTCTGGCATACGAGAAGGTGGAGGGTTGTTCTGAAGGTACAAACAAACTTAGTATAACAACAGTAGAAAGGTAGATATTCATTCTGTGGGTCCGCTACAAAATAAATTTCAACGCACCTAGGCTATCCAGCTATCCACAAACTGCTAGACTCAAGTATCTTAAAGCGGACATCACTGCATGGACATCACAACCTCAGATATCTGAGTATTAACAAGCCTCTGGAGGCAATGGTAGCTTTGAAAGGTGATATAGTAGAGAGGGACCTGAACCTTTATGGGAAGGCACCACCTGTCCTAATGACTTGTAGATTTTTACCGAATCACCCTTTTAGGATTTCATTTAAAAAAACAAATATTCTTGGTGTAGGACAGAAAGCCCAAGAGGCCCACTTTGATGTAGTTCCCTTCCCTCTACTACCAGTATCTGTCCTATTATACGATGGTAGATATTGTAAATCAAGGATATAACTGTCAGAGATCATACAGGTCCGATAAAACGTACTTTCTTTTAATCTTACATTTCCAGCCACAGAGAAAGTTATCATGAGAGGTAAAGAGAAAGATATGTGTTTACAAAATACTGATTTTTTTAAACCTTGTACATTTTGCTTTTGTAGGATTATTTTAAACGTGGGTAACAAATATTGATTTATAAACAATATATTTTAAACATAAAGCATATTTTAAGATATAGCAATTAATTGATTATTATTTCATTAAATAAAATATATTTAAAAAGAATAATACCTGGAGGTGAAAGGAGATGGGGGAGATCTGGAGTGACGGTGATGGATACCTTGGACTCCCTGAACATGAGCGATGCAGGCCTCGGTGGAGGAAGAGCTGCTTGCCTTATCACGGAGTTCCTGCTGTTTGCAGTGACTGGGGTCACGGGTGTTACCTCTAGGCCTCCCTCTTTCAGGATTTCCAGCTTCTGCTTCTTCAGCAGTGGGCTGAGTGCCCGTGGGGTGGCCTGAACAAAACATTAAAGAAATGAACCCATCTATTCAAACCACACATTGAATATATATATAACTTTTACCTTTATTTAAGTTTTTATAAAACATTTGCACTTTCTTCATAAAGATTTTTTGGAAAAAAATTCAAAAGTTTCAAGAATTCTATTTTGTTGCCAATACTGAAGTAGGTCTGTACATGAGGAAACAGTTATTTAATCATTTTTCACTTCATAAACATTGTTAAAAATTTAAATAGTATAAAATCAAGCAACAAAATATTTAACTTTTAAATCCAGAAGAAAAAAAATAATGATGTCCGCTGACTTATCCTATTGAGGGTGAAAAATAAAATCTAACCTTTTCTCCAAAATTTCTTCAATATTGGTACTGAGTTTGTAGACCTTTTATAAAATATATTTTCACTACTTATTTTTCTCTAGTCTTTATGCTTATTACTTTGTTATCAATTATCATAACATACTTATGCTGGTTTAAAAGCAAAATTATAATCATAAATATATAAAAAGCAATGTTAGTAAAGATTAAATAATTCTACTAAGGTTACTATCAGTAAATAACTATATATTGTATGTAATGATATATCAAATATAAACAATGCACAGAACATAATGTTATAGAACAAAAGCAGAAAAAGGGGACAACACACAAAGAAATGGTTACATATTTGAATTTTGTCTAAAATTAGATTTAATTTTTTTAAATTTACTAGATGTATTTCTTTAATACAGTTGTAAATAACATTAAGAAATAATAATAATAAAAAAAATTTTAATTATAATTTTGGAAAAAAAACTTGGTTAAATGCTTGATATTTTTATGAAATTAAAATTTAAAATGAATTAGAATAACTGAACAATGAATGAATTATCAGAAGGAGCTTCACTCAAGAAGAACTTTCATAAAGCCCACTTCAAATATCAATAAGGGAAATTATGTTACTATAATTGATAGAGCTACTGTTCAGCTGTTCACTTCTAGAAGATATGAATTTATTTCTAAACGTGACAGCTACTCTGACATAAGTTCATTAATGACAAAACAAAAATAGTAATTAACTATTCATGAAGAGTGCAAAATTGATGAAATGATCAAATTAGACTTAGCATCAATTTGTTACATTATGGGTTATAATGTGGGTTAGTATTTAGGTTAGGAATGAGGTAAGCAAGAAAGAAAGAAGAAAATAAAAATAGACTGACTGTGACCGAGATGGGCAGTCTGTTTCCCCTGTCCTCGCTCTTCACGGGAGGCTCATCGCTAACAAGGTCTATTATTTCGGGCTCGTTTGACAGCTTTCCCTCCGATCCCTTTTCCTGAGGGATGTTCTCCTTGCCACCAGTTGTTTTTTCCTGCTTTAACCTGATGTTACGCAAGGAGGATCCCTTAGCCTGCAAAAATAGTAAGAACCTAATAAATATCTAACTTTTAAGAATAATTAAACGGACTTCTTATAGCTTTTATATCCTTTGAGATTTGAATATTTATTAATTAAAAATAAATAAACAAATTATTCCATGTGCTCGGTCCAATCTTATTGCTTCAGTTAAATTTTGAAATAAATAGAGTTATTATATTATTTTATTAATATGGTTGTATATATATTGCAAGTACAACAGACTCCATTTTATCCCTCTTTTTCTCTGTCTATTGAGATAAAACAGAAGAAGAGTATTGAAGAACTAAAGAAGTTAAAAAGGAGTCAACTTTATTCTCAATATTCATTAAAATAATCTCTCTAAAGAATATAATCCATCAAAGAAGTTGAAGAGATACTATATGTAACTTTATTTTTGATATTTTTTTTTTTTAGTTTGAGATGAAAATAAAGTTAATAGAAATAATATTAACATTTTTCTCATTTTATTATCAAATTTTGATCATTGATAAGTAAAGTATTTTGTAAAGTTAGCAAAGAAATTTCAAGCACAAAATTTTATAAATAAAAAAAAAAAGTAAATTATTACTTGTGGAGATGTAATAGGTGGAAGACAAGGTTTCAGTTTTGGCTGAGGGGTCTTCACACCATTGACATGTCTTTCATATGGAAGAAGTAGCCTGTAATATAAAAACGAACGATCGGATTAATTAGGATAATATTTCATAAGTTACATCTTAATTCAAAATGGAAAAAAAAACGATCCCTTGGTTAACTGAGGCAAACTATTATTACTTCTGATGATTATTCATGAATACCAAAATTGATAAAATGATAAATTAATGAATTAATTTGAAATAATTACTTTTCATAGTGTCTACGAGAAAGAGTGGCAGCGCTTGTGCTAGTCATGTCACCTCCCATAACTTCATAAACATACTTCCAAAGCTTACCAGCAGTTACAACATCGTAACCTCCTAAGTCAGTCACTTTCTTGAAGAACTTGAACAGGTTTACTGAAAAAAAAAATATATATATTGTAATGTCAACATTACATGGCATTTAAATAGTGGCGCAAAAGTGGTAACAGCACGAACTACGGGAAGAAAGTGCGTGCGGATGGTGGGGGAAGCAAGCCTCATGTAACTCAGAATGTGACCGGCCGCCAAGAGAGAAGGTTATGAGCCGCCAAGAGAGAATGTGACAAGCTGTCAAGAGAGAAGGTGACGAGCTGCCAAGTGAGAAGGTGCTAGCTAGCAAGCTGAGAAAGTGAAAGAGGAGTCCTAGCCGGTTCGAGTGTTGACAGAGGCCACTAATGGAGATTATTTTATGTTGGAAGAAAAAAACATAGCAGAAAAGAATTAAGTGGTACAGAAAACGGGACATTAGTAAGTAAGAAGAGATTATTTAGCTGACAGGCGTAAATATTTGGGTGAGTGCTAACAATGCCATTTATGTGACAGAGGGATAGAACCAAAAGTTTAGACCGGGACAAATTATTTTATAAAATATTTTAAATTATATATAAGTGTAGTTAGTAATTAGTAAATTAGTGTAGATTATAGTTATTTAATGTTGAATGAGTGTTCAGTTGTCAGAACCCAACCTGAAATTTATGTTATGTGTTAAAATAAATAGTATATTGTAAAAGGAAACTCGTTTGATTTTGGAGGGAAAGAGGAACGTTACAATATATATTTTTCAAATTCATGACTGAAGTGATTGACAGCAAAGATATTTTATTTGTATTTTTTTTTAAAAGTTATGGAGATTTATTTAATGATAATGATGTATTTAATATTTAAAAACATAAAATTAAATAATTATGTTTTATATTAACTAAGAAAATAAAAAAAATAAAAAGTGAATTAATCATTATTAACAATAATTTCTATTGTCTCAAGTTTTGAGAGGCTTTTGAACTAGAATGAAGGATAAGTCGAATTCTTTCAGCTATTTATTTTTGTATATTCAGAATTTCCTCGATAATGCTAATCCTGCTTGAAAGGATCACATGTTAAGCCACTAAAAAGTAGATCCAAACCGACACTGCCTTTTATCTATTTAAAAATCAGTACTCTCTTGATATTATGATTAACTACCAACATGACATTGCTAAAGAGATAAAGAATGACCAAAGGAGTCCCAAAAAATATATTGCTCAATCGGAGAATCAAATTGTTCCTGCAAAAAAACCACCAACTTAGAGATTTGTATGAGGAATCAGACTTAGTATCCTTTATAAAAAAAGGAAAGACAAGATGATTTGCATGTACGTCACAAACCAAAAAGTATAACTTTATTACAATAGTTTCTCTCTCATAGTTGAGTTTATCTTATTGTCTTCAGAAACGGCAACATCACTAAACTGTTCTTCTCTACCACTTTTGAAGAACATAACATCCTAGTTATTACTTACAGTAAAATATCATCTGAATATTGTTGAAGTGACGTTTTTTGCTGCAACCTACTTTCAAAGTATCTATGATTGAAAGGTAACAAACTTCAATGATGTGCAGCTCGAATATTAATTTCTATATGTCTAATTATTATTTTTTTTTTTTTTGAGAAATCGATATATTAAATAAAACAGTCATATAAACCATCCTAAATTTTGGATAATTTTATAATACAATATATTATAAAAATACTATTAATATACATAAATTAATAATGCTGATTTAAATATAATTCATATACGTAGATCACTCATACTGATAAAAATTTAATTTAAAACTAATTTCTTTATTAACAGATGTCTTATGGAAAAACATTATTTACCTTCTTTAAAACCTACAACTGGTATCCTAGAAATTGGAGTTTTCCTGTCTTTCATGAAAACGTGCAGAGCATTCATGAAATTCCTCTCATCAATGGAAGGGCCCCTGGTGGGTCTTTTTGTCACTTCGAGGGTACACCTCAATCGAGGCTTCACTGTTGCCGGTTTTGGAAGGGGTTTAGCCTGGAGAAATATATGTAAATAAATATTTCGTACGTTGTTTATAACCTTTAGCAAGCATTTCATAAAAGTTCTGATGATGAAGAACTTAAAACAATAAATTGTAATTTTTAAAACAATAAAGGAAAATTTTGAACACAGTAGGCATTGACAAAATGATGAAATATACGAATTTAACTTAAATATAAAAAAAAAAAAAATCAATAAACGTACCTTTGAAGTTGAGGAACTGGCTGTGGATTGAGAGCTTTCGCTCTCTGTTTCTGATTCAGTTGGCGACTGGGTGGCACGTTTACGCTTCCGAGGCCGTCCTTTTAATTTTGGAGCTGTTTCATATATATAAAAAAAAATTATTTCATGTTAACTATGTATAGAAAAAATAATCAAAATGTGTAATTACATATATCGATAATTTATTTTTTCTTCCCTTTCTCGCCTTTTCGGCTATATATGCTCAATAATATAAAATACGCTCTGCAGAGCATATTTTATACACATGTTTGCCCACTTGGCCACCTCGCTCCCACATATATGGATAAAAATTGAGCCACTTTCCTTCTTCATCCTTCTTAGAACAATTAATTTTCTTAGATCCATGAGCCAATTCTTAAAAATTGGATATCCTTTTAATCCCACTTTTTTTCTAGGCTGTGGAAGGTTCTACTTAAAAATAATTTTTTCCAAGAATGTAGAAGGGCAAGCAGTGCAGACCTGCAGAGCAAGCAGCAAGACCGGTCTTAGGGTCTTAGGGCAACTGGGGCAATAGTCCCGGGGCTTCCGTGGCGCTTGCCACTTGTAAAAAATAAAAGAAGTTAAATAGCCTACCAATAAAGCAACTGTATTAGGGAAATGTCGAATGTAATAAAATATAAATGTTATATAATATAAAACAGCTTAAGAAATGAATTTAATTTTTTTAGGGGGAGGGAGATGAAATCATTGCCCGGCGGTGCCACATGTCTAAGGCTGGCACTGAGGGCAAGGCAATTACCAATTCCTTATTTCCAGATAAACCAAATTATGATTCACAGGGGTTTAAAAATATGTAGGTTTGTCATTCTTACAACAGTCCTTGCTATGCTTTCAGAATAGTAATGAGCCTTACTAAGCTAGTAGTGAAAGGAGGTTGTACTTAAGATACCCCTTGTTAGCATGTTAATTGTAAAAAGGTTGATAATTTTTTATTTTTTACATAAATTAGGCCAATTATCACCAAACATTTTATTGCTATGCTATTAAATTCGACGTTTCGACCATACTAAGGGTCATTTTCAAGTCTTGATGAGTCCTCCGTTATATATTCATCATTAATGTCGCAAATAATTTGTTCAGTGACTAAAATCAGTCCCTCCAGAAATGATGTAGGCAAAACCCCTATAGAGCATGACAATTTAATGTTCACTGAACAAATTATTTGCAACATTAATGATGAATATATAATGGAGGACTCATCAAGACTTGAAAATGACCCTTAGTACGGTCGAAACGTCGAATTTAACAGCGTAGCAATAAAATGGTTGGTGATAATTGGCCTAATTTATGTAAAAAATTACACCTTAAGACACCAAAATTAGGATAAATGAATAGAAGAAGGTTGATAATTTTCAAGAACCTATATAAGTGTAAACCACAATTTTCTTAGCTTTGAATAGCTATGTTTAGCATGCTGGTCTACTAATGCATAATGGCTTAGTTTTATTTAATTCTAATTTTAAACACTATGATATTAAGTAATTTATTCAGAACTGATAATGAAAAAGAAAAGTAATAAAATCACCTAAATGATTGCAGAGCAGCTCATGACCCTCTAGTTCAGGATAATCAAATGTTTCTTTACAGAAGAGGATTCTGGTGTTTTTCCAAGGGGCTGTGAATCCACCAAGTGCAACCACCATCGAAGTTCTTAACCAATCCTCTTCAACCCCTTGCAGCCTCTTCATGACGCCTCTGTACCTACAGTAGCGAGGGTAGCTGAGAACAACCACGCCTGTCTGAGTTTCCCAATGGTTAGTCTCTGAAAGAAAAACAAAAATAAATCCAATAAAACATCTAGTGATTAATAAAATTAAAACAAATATTTTATGAGATGGTAAGCCAATACTTACCTTTTAAAAATATTCTAGCGGAGTATTGAAAATCTTCTATTAATGCTAATTGTCAAAAAATATAAGTAATAAGGATATGATTTTTTTTTTTCAAATAAATCAATTATGTACACAGAATAGTTCACATGCACCCAAGTGTAAATAAAATGGGAAAGTAAATTATATTTATATAAAAAATTTATTGGACTATTAATTCTTCAAAAATGGTAACGTTTTATAACAATTCCAATTTATATATTTCTATCCAATAAATATACTTCCAAAGGTATATTAATTTTATTATAATTTTTTTTATGTTTTTACTTTCTCAAAATTGATGGTCATGAAGATGAACAGTATAGTTTGAAAAATCGACCAATTAAGTTGATGTAACAAAGAGAAAGGATTTCATTCTCAGGTTGTAAAAAAAGAATATGATAAATTTTTTTAATATTTATATTAAAAAATATAAATATTATTTATACCCATTTATCAGGAGAAAATATATATGAAAATTTGTATGTTTGCTTAAAAAATTGAAAGAATCACTTAAAAACTAAATATTGTAATTATTCTCTATAAATTTAATCAGAAAAGATAAAATTTGAAGAATTTGGTGGGGTACTTGTAACTTCTTACTAGCACCGAAATAGATTATTAATAATAGATTTATAAAAAATAAATATATACATTTCTAATAAAATAGGCAGAGTATTCAACAACTGTAAAACATATATCTATGTGCTTTTATCATGCAACCATAAGAAAAACAACATATATATAAATTGTGTACAGGAGCCTCACTTGCCTACCTTTCCCATGTTAATTGTAAGTGTTACCTAATGCTTCCTTTTCTTTATTGACATCATCCATGTCTATTGTAAAAGTGTAAGGTGGTGTGAGGGAAGCTGGAGTTCCTTTTCCCCAAACAGCCCCGAGTCCCCAATGCCAATCCGTAGCGTGTGTAATCCATGTCAGCAGGTCCTCGACACGTATGACAACTTTCTCCGTTATTGCAAGAACCTCATCCTGAAAAAATAGAGAAAATAAAATTAATAAATTGAGCACAATATGCATTATTGGGTGATATTTTTCAAAACAAAACTAAACTAATATGGCAGTAATACAGTTTACAAAAATCTCCAGAAAAAATAATAATAATCAAAAGTATCTCGGAAAATAATGCCAAATTTAATAATAAAAAAATCTTATTTATGGTCCACACTACAGTATTTGAAATGAACAATAATTCAACTTGTAGACAATTGTTTGCTCAAAATGATTTGATTTATAATTCGGAGAATGGCATAGCTATTAATAGAAAAACGGATTTTCCCCTCAATTAAAGAAATATAATTCCATAAAAAAAAGAGTGAAAATGTAGAGTATTTGAATTTATTTCATATATTTATGATAAGGTGAAAGGATGTAATTTATTAAAAATTATTGAGGCTAGAAAAATACTTTATGATAAAATGAATGTTTCAGGATAAAGAATATAAAAGTTAATAAATATTTAAATACATGCATATATGTATATTTATGAATATTGACAGAATAAATGGTTTCAAGAGCAGTGTATATATTTAGTATCTCTCTTTTCCGCTAGATGCCTCTTATGTATGTGAAACAAAGGTTATAATTTTGTATTTACAGCTTCAATTAGCATATTAACAGTTTGATCAAGCTTCACACAATTTCAGAGCCCATTTATATTTATTTAAGCTCATATATATTTAAATAATAAATTTATCTTTAATTATTTTAAAATTAAACTATTATTTAATATTAAATCAATTGGTTGTTCTGAGTGGCAGTTTAGTATTATGTCTGTTGTTAATTTTTTGACTTGAACGTTAATAAATATGTAAGTAAATGAACTATAGCAGTTTATCTATTCAAATTAAAATATCTTGAACTGTTATCAATAAAAGTTTTTTTTAAGTCGTTTTATTCTCTCAAAAATATATAATATTATAAAGTTGAGATATATGATTAGGTAAAGTTGATTGAATAGTAAAAGATACGATTAAATAAAAAGTAAATACTATTACAGGTTAAAGAAAAAAAAAGAGAAAAAACAATGAAGGATGGTTTAGACTTGTTCAAGGACTAATATGGACACAAATAAAAGAAAAACAAAACAGGGAAGGATAATTATATACTCCAGTAACAGTTAAAGGGACTTGAAAACAATGGCAAAGCAGAAAGGTTTGAGGTTTATTAGTTAAAAAATATACTTTATTTACATATATATATATATATATATATATATATATATATATATATATATATATATATATATATATATATATATACATACATATATATTAAGTATATATATATAATATAGATTATATAAAAGTATACTTGCGTATAAATATACTTAAATATATATTTGTTGATTTTTTTTTAATACAGAATAAATATCTTTAATTTCTAATCTTTTTTCACTAATTTACTAAATTATAAAATGATATATTTTTATTGTTATTTATCCAACTACTCTTATTAATTATTTAAAGGTAAATAGATGTATTATTTATTGTATAAATTAATATTTATCATAGATCCTCATAAATATTTTGTTTATTACAGTGAATTAGTTCAAAAATTGTCAATTAATTACTTTTATTAAATACATTTTGTAATGGGAATGAAATATATATTACAATAATTTGATTAGTAGATATATTATTCAAAAATGTAATTTTATAATGTTTTTTTAATTACTCTAGGACGAAACAAACCCGAGAATACACCAAACTGCCCAAATGGGTCACGGCCAATGTCTCTTGAACAACAATGTCTGTATCGTTCCAACGAGTTATGGAAATTCTTCACTGAATGTTAGTTTTATTATAAATATTTTTAAAAATTTAATTTAAATATCATATAGGAAGACTGAAAACTGAAGATTTTATTTTTCAAAATAAAATATCAATTAATTAGATCTATAAATCTATAAACTATAGACACGTGGAGTGTTTTTTTAATTTTATTTCCGTATGTTTTTTTTTTTTTAATTTATTGGTTTTTAACATTTTATTAGGTTTGAATAAACTGAAAAGCTACTGAATTAAACTAAAAATTTCAATACGATAATATAATTACATTTTGTTAAAAAAAAAAACAAATAAGAAAGTAACTTTACACTTGCTATCACATGCGAACCTAATGTTATATCCTAATTTAAGCTCATTTTGTCATTGATAAACTCGTTGCGAATTGTATGAAAATATAGCCAACTTATTAAAAACCTATTTTTCAAGTTTCTTTTTAACTTGTAAATGTGTAATATTGATACTTATTTACAAAGTTTATATTATGAATAAAGAAAACCAATTTTGCCGATAGTATAAAAAAAAATTATTGTAACTGTTACAAGGAAATACTTGTCTTTTAAAATAATGTAGTTTGTTTTTATATTAATAATGGCAGGATTTTGAAGCGATTCAAAGAAAAACAATCACGCTAACAATGAAGAATTTGTTATTGATATTAAACGGTATTGCTAATAATCAATGTGCTACCATTTTTTTTTTTAATTAATCCTTTGACATTGTTAAAAAAATATAATAAAAGTTTGAAATATTCGATTTTTTACTTGTTTTCTACACTTATTGACCAATCTAAATAATATTTGTAAATTTAGAACATTTTTAAGAGAATCATAATATTTGGACTTACAAAAACAGGCTATGTTTTAAATATGAAGTCAAAGTGTTAAGCATAAAATGTACCATTACCGATTTCTTGAAAAGGTAGTTTAACACAATCGACCTCTGGCCTCTTTTTACTTCCACTAACCTATTTATGAAATATATAGTATGGGACAGGATTGCGATCGTGAAAATTTTCGAATCTGAGTTTTCAACGGAAATACATGTTTTGAGGTCTTCTGAGTCCAAATAAGCAAGTACCGCAAAATGGGCTGCGTGTATGTTTGTGACAGGTCTAGCCCAAAAACGAAAAGTCGTATGAAAGTAAAAATGCATATTTAAGGTTTTTATATGCTTGAGATGTTACAGCAACTTTTTCGTCAAAATTGGAAAACCGGAAGTGGCACTTTATATAAATCGATTGAACAAATTTTTACTATTTTGTTGAAAACGGCTCCAACAGGATTTTGATTAAATTCATTATGTCAGTGTAAAGTTAAGTATTTTTTAATATTATGAACGTTTTATTCTCATTGATGTTCTCTAGCAGGGCTTAAATGGCTAATTATCAATATTAGCTATAATTATTAATATTAGCTTCCCTGAAGTACCTTTATTATTTTTTTTTCAAACAAATGACCATTTCACATTAACCTATAATATAAATGATAGTTGAATATAAAATATGAAAGAATTTGATGATTAACTAAAGGAGAAATCAGAGATCATAACAGAGAATAGTTGTAATGAAGAAACCAAAGGGAAAGGAGTGCGCCCGAGCTCACCCGAAGATTAGAAGAGGCTTCCATAGTAACATGAGCTTAATATAATACGGACTCCAAAATACTATGTACATATACATAAGCAGTTTTCCTAAACGTTTGCGTTGGTATTATTTAATACTTAATTGTATAGATTGCAGCGATATAAATATTAAAATTTGTATACATAAGAGTACTTAAACAAATAAAAATATAAATCAATAAAGCATTTATAATTTTTACTTTCGCTTCCCCTTTTTCTGAAAATACTTATTTCTGCTCAGAAGAGTTAGTTAAAGTTGAGTGATGCGCGCACCGCAACAGATTTTTAAATTAGTGTTCGCCAATGGTGATGCAGTACAAAATACCTTTTAGGAATATGTTTAATAAGGTTCTGAGTTTTTATGAAAATGGGATTAAAGTTGGAAGCATCACATAGAACATCTTATTGATAAAACTATATTAATGAATGGAGTAAATTTTATTTTTTCACATTTACAAACAAGTCAAAATTCTTATAGAGAAATAAATTTACAAACCAGCTATGGGAGGACCCATCAGCTTGATTGACATAATCATATTAAGCGATATTTTATTTATGACGTGCCAAAAGAATTGACACTTCGTGTGATATTAAATGATAATCTCACAAAGTAAAGAGTTATTTTAGTAAAGCAGAGAGCTGTAGTACAGATGGTAATTCGAAGCGCTGCAATACCACAGCTTCCTCAATCGCTGTTAGCCCAACGGCTAATATTAACTTGCTCTCTAATCCAATATTGAGTTGCGAATAATCCATTTCCAGTCCCAATCTTCAAACTTAAATTAGTATCATTAAAGGGGAGTTTGTTTAGGAGTAATAATTCGGCAACAGGCATGGCAAACCAATTTTCGGATATAAAATGATCAATATGTAGACGCAAATGAAGCACATTTCATAAATATATATTAACTTTTAAAGTAAATGTTTATAACTTTTTATCTAGTGATGGCCAAAATTAATTTTAATATAAAAGAAAATAATGCTCCAAATTTTAAATAGCAATGATAGAAACATTTTTAAAAAATTGAGAAAGCTTCATTATATAACTTAACTCTCACATTAATGATGAAATATATTTCTATTTTTTTAAAAATAATTTATTTTTTTCTGTTCGTGTTATACACTTCGTAGATCTTTTGCCTCGTTAACAAGCTTGCTCCATCTTTGCCATTGGGGTATTTCTTTCCAATTATCTGGATGCAGCTCTATTGTTGATTAGATGTATCTAGTGTTTCCCAAAATCGGTCTTAGTCTTGCACTTTGCATCACCAAGACCAAGGCCGCCTAACTTTTGCAAGACCAAGACAAGAACATAAAAAAAAAATCGATTTTTTGAATAAAAATTAAGGCAAAATAGTTACTAATACTTGACAATCTCTTAGTATATGTAAATAATTAGTATAACCAATATACTTTTGCATTTAACTTCTCTAATTTTTCATTCGGACTTAGTTAGGTTTCTCCTATCTAAAAAATTACAGTAATATCTATAAAGTAATAACCTAATAAGTAACTGCAAGACCATTACGAGACTAGCGCAAGACCAACACCATGACCAAGACTGAGTTGATAAGACCAAGACTCGTCTCGGTCTCGCATTTGGGCAACACTAGATCTATCCATCTGCTTTTTGGCCATCTGGTCTCTTGCATACTATTCAGCTATTCATTGTTGTGTAGACGCTTCCAAATGGATTAACCTCCGTACCTTCCTACCACGAGATATTGATTGACCAGTTTCTGTAAGCAGCTCTTTATTGATCTACTAATAAATATTTTTATTTTTTATATAAAATACATTGACTGATTACCCGATAAATTAACAATATTTTTAAAGAAAAATTGAGTTGGAACGAAGGCTGTAAAAAAAAAAAAAATCAACTGATTCATAAAAACATCTTGCCAATCTTAATAACTGGATTCAAGGGGAGGGGGAGGGGAGGATTTTGTGCTGAAGTCCCCCTTCCGTCCCCAAAAGAAAAAATATTTATATTTTTTTTCATAGACCCATTCTTGTTTCTAAGAAAGATCTGGGCTAAATACTTAAACAATCGCAATATATTATCTATTTAAATTATAACGCATGTACATAAGCTAGTAAATGTAGGCACCTTGTAAAATATATATATATAAAAACATAACTCCTAAAACCACTATCGTTCGTGAAATTACCGTAATTAAAAATAAAAATTAAACATTAAATCCGTTACTCCAGCAAATCTATGTATCTAAATTAACATCTAAACAAAATAATAGTTAAAACATAACATTAAGAAAACCAGCATAACATTAGACCTGTTTCTAGGGCAGCTTTTTTTTGTTTAATAATCAATGCTATTAAAATAAAAAAGAAGAAAATTCTTTTCCCCAAATCAAGAATTTATATATTATTATACATATCATATTAAGAACATTTGATTTTTATTTAGGTCGTAGGTATTCATCATTATGGATGATATTCAATAACAAATACCATTTCGAATGATTTGTTCTACAGAAAAATTCTTGAAGAAAAATCTATTTTGAGAATTAAATTAATTACATTCAAAATTTTCTTCTAATTTAATGTAATTTTTGGATAACAGTTGGAAAATAAGATTTATAATTAGCATTATAAATAAGATTTATAAATAGCTAGTCTATTTTCAGATGTTTTATTTTAGCAGGCAAGGTTAGCAGCAAAACCAAGTAAAAGTTCAAATATAGGCTACTTGATTCCGTATCAGCGAGTATCACGGGCGGATCTATGGGGAGTGGCTTTCGGGCTGAAGCCCCTCTCCCTTTCCCCCCCCCCCAAAATGGTAAAATATAACAATATTTTATGAAAAAAAATGATGTCTAAAAGTATTATTGTTCGTCTAATCACAATTGATAGGACTTAAGAAATCACTTTAAGACCATTTCATATGAGTAGTTAGTTTCTTTCTTCCTTAAGTAATTATCCTAATATATTTATAAAAAAAAAAAAAAAATCTTTCGGGTTGAAGATTAGAATAAAAAATTTAGGTTTTCAAAAAATATTATTCTGTTATTTACAGAACTTTTTTTCCACAAATCTTTAAAATGAGTTATACTTCGATAAATAAAAATATTATATTACCATAATTAAGATTGCCGTTTGAATCAAAGTAGAATTATTATTATTTTTATAAAGTTTATAATATCTCATGGGAGACTACTTGTGTATTCGAACTAGGAGGGTAATATGTACTTATAAAAGATTTCGGAGGATGACGAATTATTAGGATTTTTAATCTACATTTGTTTTATTAGACTGAAAATCTTGATTATATATCATCTTCATGATTATATATATATATATATATATATATATATATATATATATACCAAAGATATCCCCCACCCTAAATTAAATCTTGGATCCGTTAGTGGCGAGTACTTTTATCTCTATAATATATATTTACATTGTAAATCTTTGAATCCATTATAAAGTCTATAGATCTATAAGCATATAGATAAAAATTGGAAAGACCTAAATTTGCTATTTTTATAAATGTTATTTGCCTGATAATTTCAGAAAAGAAAAAAAAAGAATTGGCTGGTTTATTAACTACCCTCAAAAATAATTAGATTGATTAAAACGATATTACTCAATAAATCTATTATTTTAAGAAATATATTCATGAAATATCCAAAGTGCAAATATATTGAAATATATTTTCGAAAAAATGAAGAATCGATTATTTCAAAGTAGTAATTTCCAATCACAAAAAACTGAATTACATTTTATAAATCGCAGTTACAATATGGAATTATTTGCTTTCTAAGATTTAAGTTTATTTTATTATTTTTTGTAGGGTTTTCTAGCCTTCTTACAGAACAGTTCTACTCAGTATTTATGTAAAAATAATTTATTGTTCAAATAATTGTTTGATAATAAGGATGAAATTATTAATTTTTAATTGTAAATAAACGGTTTATTATTAGGTTTTAGTTTTCTGTTCAAATATATCATGCCTACATTGTTCGAATAATATAGTATATATGCATATAAGATTCGATTCTTATTAATTTGTAATTAATAATAACAATAACAATAAATTAAACCAATATAAGAATATAAAATTTACATGAGAATGACCTATGAGGTGAGGCCTTGTTACTGCATCTATTGCTGACACAGCTAACGATAGGTCAACAAGTCAAGGTCTACCAACTACGATAGTCAAAATAGAAAAACTCAGGTTAACAATGGTCCATATATATATATATATATATATATATATACATTTTTTTTTTTTAGTTCAAATTCAGTTATTAACTATAATAAGTTATTATTATATGCAAACTATGTCTAGAAAAAACACTGATTTGTTTATTTTTTTATAATGGGAAATGCATGTATTTTAAAAAACTATTTAAAATTACACATTTATTCTCGAAACAATAAGACGAAAAAAATCGTTAGTCTTTTAAGGTAATATTTTATAAATAGTAAGAGTTGATACTGTCATCTATAATATTATTTTTAATTGGAAAAATAATACAGGCAAAAACCTAGTTCATCATTTGTACTAGTAAAAAAAAAAAAAAAAAAATGAATATATCCATAATAGTTTAACTATTATTTTTACAATTTATTTATTTTTCTCTTCTCCTCAGGTTGTGCTTTTTTTTTTTCGGGTATATATGTCCATATTTTATATCTTTGTCTTTATGTGTGCCAATATGAGAATGTACGTATAAATAGTTCCTTTTAGTTATTTATTTTATTTTATTTTATTTTTTCCATTACACCACAAGTATCGTAAGACTTTATTTTATCTTAGTGTCTGCATATTATTATATAAACCACTGTAGATATTATTTCATTTTGTATTAAATTAGTTTTCTATTAGATAGCCTATTGTTTATAAATTGTGTAGTTATGTATATATAAATATGTAATTTCTCTTCTTTTTTTTTTCCATCACAATTAAGTAATTTTGAGAAGATTTTATGTTCATTTGTATGTATATTTTATTTTTTATGTTTTACTGGTTAAATACTTTTTTAAATAATGTATATAATATTAAAATTTTTAGAAGTTAGTTTTTGGCCAGATTTGTACTTTACTTTGTATTAACTCATCATTGTTATTCTAAAGGGACTTAGTCCCAGAATAAAGTTTAATTTTCTATTCTATTCTATTCCATATATATGAATGTATGAAAGTACTTGCATGTATACTAGAACACCTTGGTAGGTGGCTAAGAAAAATTACCTCTATGAAATTTAAACTTGGTTTAGTTTAAACCAGAAAGGCCGCCTTCCACCACCGAACAAAACTTGGAAATCTTTCGGATGTAAACATGCACCGATACATGGGATTTTGCATTATTTTGGATTATTTTTTTAACGATATTAGTTTATAAAGTATCGACAATTTTTATTTATCACATAAACTCACGTACTTGCACACGACAGACATACCTACTTACAAATTACACAGATATCTTATATTTCATTACAGATAACCCACAAATAATTTTTATCATAAAAGTTAAATAATTATTAAACAATTAAATTCAATTATAGGTACTATTCTAATTGAAATATATCATAATAAAGCGGCTATATTTTTAATTTGAAGAGGGAAAGAAAAGGTGATAGGTTTAATCCAACGGAACGATGTTCGCTGGACGGGTAGTAAGTCGACAGCCCTTTTTTACAACCCAACAACCTTCCTTTTTGTATAGCTGTAGGGCTCTTTTGTATTTTATTGTTTTATCTTAATGATCTTTAGCTGTATAACCT